GGGTCCGGGAGCCCGGGGGGCGGAGGTCGGGTCCGCCCCGGGCCCCGCGCGTCCCGGGGGCACGTCCAGCTCTTGCTCTCCAGGGGCGCAAGGTTTGGGGGCCCCGCGCGCCGATTTCCAGAGGGGCCGGCGCGCCTCGCCCCAACCCCGCCACGGGCAGCCCGGCCGGTGGGAGAGGAGCCCCCAGCGTCGGGGCACGTGAGGGCAGACGGCGCCTCAGCAGGCCGGAGTGACCACCGGTGCCCCTTATAGGCTGAGCGGCCGCAGCAAACGCGGGGGAGGGGGGCGGGCGGAGGGGTCTCCCGGGTGCAGCTGTGGGCGGCCAGGGACAGCCAGCTCCAGCTAGCCCCCGCCGGCCGCGGTCCCCCAGAGCACTGGGGCAGCAGGGTTGTGGTCCGAGGCCACAGATGGGCCTCCGTGCTGACCTGGGGCCCGTATGCATGCTGGGTGCAGCCCAGCTCCTGGACAGGTAAGAGGGAAGCCACGGGGAGCCGCCCACTCGGCGGCTCGGAGGCTGCGGCCAGTGGCCGCCCACGGCAGGGGAGGCTCAGGCACCTCTGTTGGAACCCACCTGGGGGCTTTGCAGGCTCTGGGGGGCCCCGGAGCGCCCCATGCCCCATCCGCGGCAACTCCTCCTGCCTTGTGCCCCAGCTTGGGCCTGGGCTGGCCAGGGGACAGGCCGCAGTGGACAGGGGAGCTGGGCAGCAGTGGAGCGGGGCGGGGGCGGCCGCAGCCTCCTGGCCTGGCTCGCCAGGCCCACAGGGAGCCTTACAACCTCCCCCCACCAGCGTGCGCCTCTCTCCGGCTGCACCCGTGGTGGGTGCCCAGGCCGGGGCCTGATCGAGGTGGTCAGCTTCGCCCACCGCCTCAGCCGGGACATTCGCGTAGTGTGGGCGCCGGCGGAAGGCTCTGGTGGGGCTGGGCTCCGGGCGTCCGCCCCGCCCCCGCCCCCGCCCCCGCCCGGCGTGCCCGGTAGTCCAGACACAGTGGCAGTGTCCCTCCCTGGCCAAGCAGGCCAGGCCCAGCCCCTGCGGCCCCGGGAGGCGAGGGCCGTCCTCGAGCTGCGCGGGCGTCAGGGGCACGCGGGTTCCCCGGGTCGCGGGCAGGCGCGGAAGTGGAGCGCAGGTGTGTACCGTACAGATATATATTTTTTCCTGTGTACACTGATCGTTCTCTCTCGAAGTATTAAAAAATGGATCGACCTCCAATCTATAAAAAATACCTACTCTACGCGATAGAAAAATCTCTCTCCACGTGTGCAGCCGACTTACAGCCCC